ATTAAGGAAATTACAAATGTCTTTTTAAATTTTTAATTATTATTACTGCTTGCATGTAGAAGGTTTACCACATCAGGCATGCGGAGGTCCGAAGGTAACTCTGAGGAGTCTCTCCTCTCCGCTCACCTTTATGTGGATTCTGGGAATTGAATTCAGGGGTCAGACTTGGTGCAGCAAGTGCCTTTCCCTGTTAAGCCATCTCAATGGCCCACAAGTGTCATAAATATTCTTATATTCTCAACTCTAGCAATAGGGTTATACATATAACTATGAATGTCTGATACATTTAAATCTTTTTTGCCACCAACCCTAGCAATAGGATCCTATATGGTATTTCAATAGCCACAGTCTCAGAAATGCTAAAAAAAAAACAAAAAAAAAAAAAACAAAAGAAAGTTAATAAAACTCCTACATAATTTTGCATGAAAATGAAAAAATATGTAAGATATCAATTCTGGTTTTAATAAAATGTTATGTAAAGCACTATAGGATGCTATGAACTGAGTTGCCATCTCCCAAGTTACTACAGTATAGAACTGTCACCAGGACAGGGTGAGCTGTGACATGAGCTTCTCAATTAATGAGGCTAGTTTCAGCTCACTAAGAACTTACTATGCAGACACAGTGCCGACTATTATCTATACACTGGCTCCTCTCTCCAACCTCCGCTGAGATGCTCTAATACCCTCCGTCAATTCATGAGACTACAACAGTCAGAGAGATAAAGTCATTTTACCAAAAATATTTTTAAAAAACAGAGACTGGAGAGATGACTCAGTGGTTATGAGCACTGGCTGCGCTTGATGTTCAGGTCTCAGCACCCACATGGCAGCTCTGTGACTCCAGAGGATCCAGTCACCATCTGTGACTCCAGGGGATCCAATGTCTTCTTCTGCCCTCCATGGACACTGCACACACACATGTGATGCACAAAAAGACACACAGACAAACCCTTATACAAATAAAAATAAATCTTTTTAAAGCAATCTTAAAAATCATTGTTTTGTCAAAAGCAAAGACCCCAACCTACATCTCCAATGATCATGCTTCTTTCTAAACCCCCGGTGACTGATACTTTTAGTCCTGTACTTCAGCTTAGAGAACAAGATGAGGAAAAAATTAAGAACTATATTTTTAATCTTTGGTTATACTTTCCTTTTGGGTGTTAAGGCCACACAGTTGGACCAGATAAACCTATTTATTTTTACTCTTAAGGTCGTTTGAGGATTTGTTCCTCAGGGGTCACATGGGCTTGGGAGGAGCCCCTTGCTCCTTTCTTTTACCAATTCGGCCTATATGAAGTGGTTGGGCCGTTGCCTCAGGCCTGCTGTGTGGCTGTCATTAGGACTTTCACCCTAGGCTCAAGCCTGTCTCCCACATCCTGTAACTAGTCAACCTAGGAGGGCAAGGAGAAAAAACTGTCCTTTATGTCCCTCTGACCAAATTATTATAGGCCTCAAAGTATGTCTGTTAAACACCCAAGAAGGTTAGTAACACCAGTCTGGTATTTAGATTAAAGGAGCCAATATAATTTCATAAGAGTCCATATGTATAGCTAAAGGCTACATAACAAGCAACAATGCCAGACAGACGATACCTACTTTTGAGTTGTTGGCCAGGGTGGCCAAAGGGATTCCCAGATAGTAACCCAGCATAGAACTGGGAAAATGAACAGCAGACCCTAATCTTATCTAAAGGAGTATTGACAACTGATTACCACTAGATGAGGGACAGCTGACCCTCCTAAAACAAAGACCTCTAGATAGGCTGACTTGATTCACCAGAAGGGCAAGTAGCGGGGAATGGCTACGGGTGCTGACAACACAGCAGATAGTAGCAAGGATATCAGAGTATAAGGGCTCTAGTGGGGGGAGGGAGGCTATGGGAGGGTGCTATCTGGGAAGTGGGTGTAAAAATAATTAATTTAAAAAAAAATAATAATTCTTCAAAGCATAAAAATTTGCTCCTCAATAATTGGTGGATTGTAAAAAAACATTACCATTGAAATCTACCTGATGACTTTATATCCATGCTCAGATGCCAAGGAGCTCAGAAAGTAACCGACTGTGACTAGTAATAATCAGCTATATAGAGATTAGAAATCCTTGTGCATTTTAGTGTCAATTGTACTGAAAATGAATTTTTCTGTATGAAACTGTGTATTTATAGTGAAATGGAAATCTTTTTTAAAGGTTAAAACCTCATTTAATTTTATGTCTTATAGGGTTTATACTGAGTACAATATTGTAAAACCTCATTTAATTTTATGTCTTATAGGGTTTATACTGAGTACTGAGTACAATATTGTATAACTGTATTAATTCAAGTGTAAACCTAAAAATTTGCAGCCAATTTTGAAGGAGATGCATCTTAGCTCTGGAAATTGTTATTGAGTATGTTACTGCTGTTGTAATAAACTGCTTCTTCTGATTGTGTGGTTATTAAATAAATAATTTTTTAAAAAAAGAACTATATTTTTATTATAATTTACCCATAACCTCACTTGGACTTGGTTATTCTCAACCTATGCTTGAAATTGACCTCTGCTATACACATCTGTTACTTAAGTTTCAGCTCTTTTTGATAAGCACAGTTAGTGTTAAAGTACCAAGTAAATCCTAACCCCACATCCTTAGCGGAGACATTTTGAAGAATTTGTCAGTCCAATTATGCACTGAGGCTCTCCAACATCTTCAAAAGATTGATATTCAAAACAACCACCACCCATAAATATTAGCACTTATGGGTCTAAACAGAGTTTGCTAGATAAAATCTTAAGAGTAGATGGAGGGGTTAATGCTTTTAGATCTCGTTGAGCTCCTTAATTACAATTTCCATGGGTTTATTGGCTCTGGCACAGTAAGGGTACGACTAGAAAAACACACACCTGAAATCCATACAATGTAATATGCCCTGAATATGTGCTCAATTATGCAGCTATGCAGGCGATTCTGTACCTCCAAAAGAGGTAAATCACAAACACGTCATTATCTTTCATCCTAGGACGATGTGGTCATTTATGCCATCTAGGAGTGGAAGGGATGGAGCCCTAAACACCAGTTCCAGCCTGTTTCACTTTAACACAAGCACACCTAGCCAAGTCCTTAAAGTGCCTGTGCGACTTTGAGTCTGACAGCATCCCCACTGTGTGTGACGAGGTTCACCTCCAAATCTGGACAAAGGCACAGCTGTGCTCCTAAGTGGCCCTCAGCCCTGAAACTCTGACAACCAGACTTTCTTCTTGTGTTTTCATCAACATAGCTGATCAAAGCTTGCCAAAGACACCATGAGATCAGACCTCAGATGGGCAGTGTTCATTTTCTTAGTTGAAAGTGAATTTATGAAGACAACCATTTTCACATATGAAACTATCCCTTCCAGAGAAATGCAGATGTCGTTATGAGACTCAGACCCTGTAGAACTAAAGAAAGGTCTGGGTGCATGAAGACCCCGAGGCCAGGCCCAGCACTTGCCCCAAGACCTGAGTGCACTTAATACCGCCCTGCAGAAGTTGATTTGGAAGCAAATGACAGTTTTCAGAAAAACCAAGGTTACAGATTAATCCAGAGACCCAGGAAGGAGGCAAAAAGACAGACATGCCATTTAAAAGGGAAGGAGTAAAGTGACCTATGATCCCATTGTGTCCGAACGTCTAGTGTGCAGTTAGCACACTAAAAACTCCAAAATACTCAGACCTTTGTTTGTTTGTTGTTTCTAAAATAAAGGTACTTACCAAGTCAAATACCCAAGTCCCCACACTTTGCCCAAAATACATGGGCTACCTTTCTTCGTGGAAGGCCAGAGTGGGACTTGCCAAGCTCAAAGGTATCTACTCTGGTGGGTTAGAATTAGGTAACGGGGGAGAGAGGAGGAAAAAAAACCAGACTTTCCCTTTAAAACTGAACAGAAGCAGATACCAAATCACATGACCTTTTACCGTAATTTCTATTAAAATCATTTCATGTCTGGTTGCCCCTGCTCTCCCGGCTCATTTGTATTGTTTACAACAAGCCACTGCACTGGCAGTTAGTGGTGGCCGAATCCATGGTTACTCGTTTTTACATTCACTAGTTAAATGGAATGCATCTCGGCTGTGGGTTTCAGGGAGCAAGCTCTTAAGAAACCACAATCCAGCCATCAATCAGACTAATCTGAGAGAAATTAATCTTATAAACATAAGTATTGTTGCAGATTAAAAATTGATAGAAAGGGGGACCGGGCTTTTATGGGTTGGAGTTCCAAAAGTGGGCAGGCTGAGATTTGACTCAAAACCTCGGCGTGTTTGGTCTGTGGTCTCCCTCTGACAGTCGGTCATGTCGTGCATCTCAAAAGCTTTCAAGGGTAATACGACCACCCTTGACAAACAAATCCACCACCTCCCCCAAATTCCTGAGCAAATTATTTCACCTGGTAGCTCTTAGAATCTAAACACAGGTTTAACCAGTCTGCAGCAATCCAGCAAAGTAACTTGAACAGATACACACAAGACAGTCAACACCAGACAGACAAGCAGAGTAAGATCCAATTAAAACCAAACCTCAGAGGAATACACTATGAGTAAATTAAAACTGCAAACTAATATGTTTTATGGAGAGCAAACATGGTACAAACTCACCCTATTGTCCACGAATTTATGTCATTAATTCTTTGAAAAGCATTCCCCAAAAGCTAACTTGTTTCTCAAGATGGACATGACCAGCAATTAGCATTCCTAATAAAAATTCAGAAGTTTTATAGTTTAATGCCCACAGTAATTGTCCCACAAGTCACATGTACATGCCAAATGAGAACTCCAAATAGTTACAGCTAACATATTACAACCCCATCTACTGCAAAGTCACTGTATCAGGAGCTACAATTGATTTGTTTCCTCAGAACGAATTGAAACCGAATGTAACATAACGTGGGAAAAATCCCTCCCGTACTGCTAATTGGATATTGTACAATGGCTCATTGCAGCTTTGCCCTGCCCTATTGCCGCCTAAATCATACATACTTACACGTTCCGGGTTCTTCCAAGAGTTTGGTGCAGTTTCAAGGACAAATGTCTTAAGCAAGCCTCTCTACTGTGCAGCAAGGAGCTTGGCTCAGATCTGATGACAGGACACAGTGCTAAATCTGACAACAGTGAAGGAAACTTCCTGTGTGAAGAGGAGAGCTGGGAGAGTCTCAGGGTTAAAAAGGCTGCTCCAAGGTGCGGGTTGGTTTCTCCCGGGTTGTGTATACACGGTAACAGCTGAGCTGTGTTTGCAGCCCTGCAGAAGGGAACCTTTACTGAAAACCAATGGCATCACATTTCAGCGGAGCCAGCGCCAAGTGCTGGAGAGCAGCGCAACCTTTGACAACTTCACACAATTCACCCCAGCGGACTCCGCACAGGGTAGGGAGAAATGTGGAAAGAGTCTCCCACAGCCAGGACTCATCTCTGTGTGTTAGCACAGCATCTGACACACTGAAGGCTGGAACTGGCTGGACTTGGGCACCAGTGCAAGGTACTCTCTGAGCTTAGCTTAAAAGTAGCTTCTCACCGTGTTCTATCTGCGAGCAAACTTTACCTGATTTGTGTTTGTGTGTATGTGTTCATATGGGTGGTGCATGTAAGCAGGTGGGTGCATGTGCATACATGGAGGACGAGGGGGATGTTTGGCTTCTTCTTCAATTGCTGTCTACCTTATTTTTTGAGACAGGGTCTTCCACCAAACCTGGAGCTCATAGACTGGCTGACCAGAGAAGCCCCAGGGAGCCTCCTGTCTCTGCCTCCCAGCACTGGAACAGTAGGTATGTCGATATTTGTCATCTCTCCCAGTTTTTCCGTGGGTCCTCCTGCTTACACAGCAGGCAGTTTACCCACTCAGCCATTCCCCCAGCTCCTTAATCCAAAACTGTAAAGTGTGTTCCCATCTGTTTCTTCTATACACCTTTTCTCTAGGGCTCCTGTGATATTCCTGGGAAATAAACTGAGGGGCAAATAATACAAGATTGGCTCATTTCATAACACAGTCTAGACTCTGCCGATGGAGAGGAGGGAGTTTTAAAATGACCGTGTTATTAAGACCATTTTATTATTGTTCATTATGAGCTGATGATTACAACACAGTGCTCCAAGAGAATTCACTATCCTAAGAGCCTGGGGACACCAAGAACGGGCAAGTCATAAAGAATGTGGGAGATGCACACCAGCATGGGAATCAGTCTTAATTATTGATCTTAACAAGGACGAGAAGGAAAATTCTAGCCCTTACTTACTCTCTCTCTCCATGAGTGAAAGCTTTTTCAGTTTATTATATTTTATTTATTTTGGGGGGGAGTGAGGGAGGGTGTGTGGAGGTCAGAGGATAACTTGCAAGGGTCATTTCTCTCCTCCCATCACCATATGTGTTCCAAAGACTGAACTGAGGCCATCAGGCTCGGTAGCAAGAGACTATTTGCTGAGCTATCTTGCTGGCCCTCCATGAGTCAAATTGAAGGAGCATAAGAGGCAGAGAGAGAGGCCATGAGAAAGAATGGGCAATGCTAATAGCAAACTTAATCCAAGCCATTGTTCAAGCACTTCATTATCTATGAGGTCCCTGCAACCCTGCCCCTCTCTCCTGCCCCTATGATAAGTCTACACGATGGCCTATTGTATGGTATCATCTTTCAGTATTGTGCATCTTACTTCGAAGGGCAAAAACCACAACTGGCCACTTAGCAGAGGTCATAGGAATTGTGACAGGCAGCTTAGGGAACTGTTGTCCTTGTCTGAAGCCTGGTCAAGGAGCTACCTGTGCAACTGGTAAAGCACCCAAGGCCTTCCCCCTGCATGATGGCCACATCCTAGTCCAGCAATAATGATAATGCTCTCACAGCTGAAAGCCCACACCATGTCATGAACAGAGCCTGGGCTCTGACACCAGGTTAACTTTCCTATCCTGACTTCATCACTCCACCTGCACAAGATGAAGTTGTTTAAATCTCCAAATTTCTGTTCCCTCATCTATGAGAGGGATACAATCTATCTACCATTCAAGATTTTCATGAAGATTTAAAAGGCTAACATATGTTGGGGATGGGCCACCGAGCCTGGCATGCATGCATTCAAAAACATTTACTGAGTCTCTCTTCACAAGCAGGAATGTTGTCAGCCACCATGGGCACAAGGTCAATGGCAACATGGTGTCTGCCCTCAAAGTACAGGTCCATGTTAGGTCCCCCCCTCTTCTTCTCCCATAATCAATGTGGTCCCTATTGAAGGCATAAAAACACTTCCAAATCCTGTGTCTTGGGACTGAAGATGTGGCTTGGTGGCTGAGCACTTGTCTAGCATATACCACGCCCTGGGCCCATCTTCAGTGCAAAACAGATAAACAAACCAAAGGAACTTCTCCCTCTCATTTGACCCTTATAACAATTTTATGAAACATATGAAGGTATGCGCAATTTATAAGTTGGAAAACCACATATTAAATAGGTTGTACAACTGGTAGATTGAACCCTGAATGTCAATCAAGTTTCTATGGAAGGCCCAAGCACTCTTAGTGTCTATATGAATTGGTCAAATTCTATAGAATTCTTTCTAGAACTACATTGTTTTATTTACAGTGACAGGGTGGAACCTAGAGCCCTGACCACTGAGCTATACCCCAGCCCTCTGTACTGTTGTCCTAACAATTCCATATGTATATCCTCCACCCCTAAAGGCAGCATTAATGTCATAAAACAGAGACTGTATCTTCAAATGATATGTTATTCACTAACAGAATTACCATGATGGTAAGAAAACACAGCCAATAAATTTTCCTAAATGGAAAAGAAATCTGAGCTTGGCTGACTTTACAGATTCTGACCAATCTCAAAGGAAGCTATAGCACATGATGGCATGAGGTCTCTGTGGTCTTCCATTTCCCATACTACATCATCAGTGGCTTCCAAATAATCTTATGTACCTCAGAGTTCATAGCACTGACTCATAGTTAAACTCCCTGAAAGCTGTTTTCTTCTTGTTTAGTGCATGGCTACCATATACTGAGGACCTCCTGGTTTTCTGGCAAAAGGGAATTAATATTGACTTGCAAACTCCAACTTGATCCCATGACATCTTTGACTTTAGCCTACCTCGAGTTCTAGGTTTAACAGATCACAGAGTGAAGCATGTATCCACTGCAGATAGAACTCAAGAGTGTTCTTTGGATCTCCTTTCTGAAATCGTCTGTACAAACAGCCCAAATACCATTAATAATTCTTGACCTACTCCTTCATCCAATGCTTTGGGATATAATTCATTTATAATGGAAAAATCGGCTAGGCATTTGTCAGTGACTCATACATAAAGATATCCTTCAAAGGCATTCATACCATGTCTCCACTTGGAGCCCAACTGACAACTGATGTCTTCTGTTCATTAGTTCTAATCTTATACCCTGGAAACAAGTTTTTCAAATGTAATTTATATCACTACTTATGAGTATTTACTACCAAACAAGGATCCCTGTAGTCTTCACAAAAATGCAGGAAAGTATTCATTCAAAAGCCCACTGAAAAATACACACAGAATATAATATGAATGCATGTGTATAGCCAAAGACTATATAACAAAAGGTACAGTGCCAGGCAGGGGAAACCTCCCTTGGTGTTATTAGTCAGTGTAGTCCAAGAGACTCCCACAGTTACACAGGCTATTGCCGCAGCTCTCAATTGCCTCCCAGAACCTGAGGGTTATTGCTGAAGACAGAACATACTTCAGACACAGGACTTAGAGCAACTGAGCTGAAATTGGTATCAAGGCCTCCTCCTTGAAGACCAGCTCTCATTGTACAAAAAGATACTATACAAACTGCCAAGGGAGAAAACCAATCAATGACTGCATCTGGTTAAAAAGTCTATGAACCACAATGATGACCAGCCCAGCAAATCATTGTAACTGGTGTAGTAGTGGCCCTTTTATCTTGGGTGTAATCAACAGCTGTCTAATTGGACTTAAGGCCTGCCCAATGGGAGGGAATTCATATGTGGTACTGTAAACAAAACCAAATACACATGGCTGGAAAAGCCATAGAGCCTAGAGAAAACCCTACCTTTGTCACATCCCTAGAGTAATGTAATTTCTTTCTATATTCTAAATACATATTTATAGACAAGTGTGCCTTTCAGCACTCATCAAAGAAGCTTCTTTGTGAAATAGAGACTATTACAAAGTTCCATAACTGGCCAAATGCAGAGAATAAGTGTCTATAAGGTGCCCAACCATAAATGGCACAGCTACAATGCATTTTCTACACCTAAGGCTCAGGGAACACAGTGGAACAGGAGGCAGAAAGAGTGTTAATGCATCTCTCCACTCTCACCAGCGAAGTTTTCTTGTGCAACAGATGGTGATTAACTAGACAGCCACAATTGGCCAAAGTGCAGAGAGTAAGAGACTGCAGAGTGTGTATCCCTGAATAGGACACCTGTATCAAACCTCTGCAGCCCAAGGCTCAGGGCCCAGTGTGGAAGAGGAACCAGAGAGATTGTAAGAGCCAGGGGTGCTGGGTGACCACAAGGAAACAGAGCTTTCCAGGAAGGTGGGAAATTACTCATATGAACTCTCAGCAACGGTGACAATATACATAAGACCCACACAAGCCCAAGCCAGACAAAGTCCCAGCCCAGAAACTGGAGAAGGGGATAAGTTAGCTGAGGCACTACTGTCAAGTGATAGCTGCTGGGAGAGGAAGAGTTGGTTTCCTTTAAGGGGGTGATGCTAGTTTGGTTAACCAGGCTCTATTGCATGGATGCACACCAAAAGGCATTTGGGGATATAAACTTGACTTGATAGGCCTTAATAAATAGACAGAGTACATAAAATCTGGTGGTGTGGGGGTGAACTGTTAGGGGGAGCAGTTAGAGGAAGGGGTCTAAATATGATCAAAATATATTGTATGAAATTTGCAAGACTTCAATAAAAATGAACTCTTAAAATGCAGGAATTTTAGATTAATATCAATTTACTGAAAAAGTACAAATGGCAGACAAGTTTGGGGACAAAAAAAAATCACTGCATACATAGGTTTTATTTCCAAAGTCATTCTCTTGTTTATTTGGGTGAGAAGTGGCCCCATAAAGGAGAGTAAATAAATAAGCTCCCCAGGTGTCGGCATTGCCTGTGTTAGGGTTTCCACACCTGCTTCCACCTCAGCTGCCCATGTCTGCAATACTTCCTGCTTCCAGTCTGCTCATTC